GTGGATGAACTTGCACCAAGGGACACCTGGCTAGAAATTCTTGGTGGGATAGGACTTAATATATATGACAGAAAACCTGAAATCTGGTGGGGGGGCTATGAGGGGTGGGGAGGGGGAAGGGTTCCAAATTTGATTAAGATGTATTATATGAAATGCACAAAACACAATAAAATTTTTAAAAGTCTAGACAATGTAATCTACACAGTAATCGTCTTATGACTAAAAAAACCCCAAAATTGAAAATAAGAATTAGAAAATGAACAATGAAGCAAGCTCCCAGTAATCATAATTAGTTTCTAATTATGCTAATTCATCTGCCTAACTTTACCATCATCACACAAGCCTAATTCATTTCTGCTTCTGTTTTACTTCAATATAGAGTGTGCCATTCATTTATGTCAGCTGTGCCTCTTTGCTGCACCTGATCCTCCACACAGGGTTCCTCCCAGAGCTGACCAAGGACTGGGGTCTGACTGTGAGGATTGACCATCAGCTCCTGTTCTGTGCAAATCACTCTTCCCAGTTTAACCTCTGTGCAGGATTGTGCCTGACGGAGAGGGTCTCTTGCTTTCCTCACACTCAGTCATTCATGTGAGACACAATACAGGCAGAAGACTGTTGTGTGTACAAGTTAAAGTATCTCAGTGCTGGCCATGGGCCCTAAAAAATGAGTTCCAGTAACTCAGTGCACATCTGCCAATTGGGAGTAGGTTTGGCATAGCTTCTAAACATCACCAGGAGATACGTCCCCTTTCCACCTCACATAGTGTAGACAACATCCCAACAACAATGCTGGATCCAATGGCTGCCCTTCTTTAGCTTTGTTCTTGGACAAGGAACTTTCTACGTTTGGGAAACGTTTGTTGTCATTCCTCTTTCTACTCAGGACTGTGATGACCTGAGTTTAGACAAACCGCTTAGACCATCTTTAAAAGCTCAGAGCAGAACAGGAGCCTTTAGTCAGCACAGCACTATCCAGTTCCATGAGTTTCTCTTGGCTCAAATCGATGTTCTACCCTGGTGTGAAAGTTGACCGAGGATGAGCCTCTCCTTGTCAGAAGTACCAACTGACCCCATAACCATAGTGATGAATGAAAAGGCAGAAGATAGGAGGAAGGAAGCTGAGGACCAGAGGCAGGATGCTGATGCTCAAAATGGCATGAGCTGGGGGGCGGGTAGCAGGCAATGAATCAAAATCAGCCTTTGTCCCATTCATGAAAGTTCTGTCCAAGGATGCAGAGACACTGAGGACCAATAATGACTGAAAAGGACATTGTCCTGGGAGGCTTCATCATGCGCTTTTTTTTTTTTTTTAATAAAAAGGGCATGCATCTAGAAGGGTCTGTTTCACAGAAAAACACAGAACTATGAGAACAGCCATGTTCCCAGCTATCTCTGTGTGAGTCTCCTCTGTGCTCATCCCCAGAACTGAAGCTCCACATGAGTGGCAGTTTCCTGTGCTCAGTGTGTCTCTGCTACTCTGTGTCCTCCCTGCAGCATCAACCAGGATCTTTCCCTCCTGTGGATCTCTGATCTCCAGACTTGACATGGTCCTTGCCCTCCTGAATGTTCAGTAGTTCTGATTACCAACAGAACCTGCATAAGATTGGGCTCACCAGTGTGTTCCTTCATGAAGGGGAGGGTCTCAGGAGCCTGGCCACTGTTTGAGAAAGTAGAGACAGGAAATGCTTGATGGGAGAATTTTTCTTCAATGGGGTATCCTCACATAAGTCTCACACACTTAAAAGAAACTACCAAAACTCATTGAGCAAGAGAGACTGGGGTGGATCATTTCTTTGTTTCTGTCTTACATCTGAGATGCCTAGGCATTGGTTCATCTCTCTCCAGGAAATGTCCCCACAACCACCCAAAGCATCTCAGGCCTGAGGAGATGACTGAGCATAGTAAGTCCCCACAGCACTATGAAGACGGTCAGGGTAAAGACGTGAAGGAGCCCAGCAGGAAGGATAAGATAGGAAAGTCTAGTGCTGAGACACACTGATGTGGAACAGCTCACTCAAGAAGACACCATGCATACTGGGGCTGTGCCCTGGACATTGATGACACAAGGACAGGTCAGACAGACATGAATGGGTTCCAGGGAGATGACACTTCTGTAAGAGACAACAACAGCCATGCATGTGCCTGTTTCCTCACAACACAGTAGACTGATGGAGGAGAGAGAGCCAGGAAATTGAGAACATGCTTTGGCAACATAAGGCCCTGAGGACCTGTCTGAAAACAGGAGAATGCAAGGGGATGAGAGAGAGAGAGAGAGAGAGAGAGAGAGAGAGAGAGAGAGAGAGAGAGAGAGAGAGAGAGATTGTTTTTGAACAGTGCCCAAGCCACAGCTCTGTAGAAATAAGAATCAGGCTCCCAATGAAGGCAGTTCTGTTTCCTGTAGAGTGATAAAGTGACATATGTGTGACATCAGGAAGGTCCCAGCTTCCAACTGCCACATAAGCTCTGTCTGTCCACTTGGCAGGGGACCAACCATCGACAAGGGTCCAGCCACAGAGAGGAGATGCCATGACTCCCACACTAACAGCCCTGCTGTGGCTAGGTAAGATGGGAAGATGGGAAGGAAATACCCTAGTCTGGGAGGCATTCTCCTCCACCACCAGTCCCTGGTCCATCAGAGCATCTCAGAAGATGAGATGTCATCTGTGAGGGGAGAACCTACTCAGGTTTCAAGGTACAAATCTCTCAGAGGAATGTCTCTTCCGGGACTGAGTCTGGGCATGAGGAATCCAGCACTGGCAGGTAAGTGTGGCCCCAGCTGCCCCAGAAAGTTCTTCCTCTCTGAGGACATGGGGCCACCCTAGGCAGAGGAGATGGAGAACAACAGGTGTGGGCTGGTGATAGGAATGCTTCTCAGGTCCTGGGGTTGAGAAAAGAAATCTGACCAGGAATGGTATAAGACCAAGCCTCTGATTTCCATGTAGGGACCCTTCCCAAGCTACAAATTAGGGCTGAACCAGGTTCTTTTGTTACCAAGGGCATGCAGGTGAACGGTTCTTATGAGGAAACTACGGGTGACTAATAAGTACCCTCTCTATAAGTTGAGTTCCCTGGATCAGAGAGACAACATAGAAATTGAGCAATAAATTTTATTTTTCATCCCATCAGTTACATGGAAAAATGCAGGGTGATATGACTGTTATTATCAGACCCTTGCAGGTTGTCAAATTCAATGACCCCATTTACCAGGCTTCATCCTTCTGCCCTAGGATTCCACAGCAAACCCAGCCTGTCAGCCTGGCTCAGCAACAAGGTGACCTCAGGAGGGAGCGTCATCCTCCAGTGTGTCTCAGAGCAGCACTATGACAGGATTTTTCTGATCACAGAAGAAAAAGAGAAGCTGAGATGGATGCTGAACTCAGAGGATGTCCACAGGGCAGTCCCAGGCCCTGTTCTCCGTGGGCCCTGTGACCTCCATCAGTGGATGGACATGCAGATGCTATGGTTTTAACTTGAACGACTTATGGGAGTTGTCAGCACCCAGTGACCCCCTGGAGCTACTGGTCTCAGGTGAGGAAGCCTTTGTCTTCAATTCAATGTTGTTGAACCTGACACAGGTTCCAAAGGGAGGCCCTTGTGTGCGATGGGTGAGGGGGAACCAGGGCTCCTAAGCCCATGGACACATCACACTTACCTGATAGGGAGACCAGAGAGACAGAAACCAGTTGCAGCCACTGAGAGGGAAACTCAGAAGGTCCTGGAGGGAGTTGGGTCTTCACGTGCCTCCACTGGTCCTTCTGCAACATAATGATCATATCAAGTGTTATCTTTGAGTGTGACTCCCTTTTAGCACTATTAAAAACATGTCCATCTCCTTCTCATCTACTTTATTTGCAGGGACAGTCCACAAACCATCTATATAGGCTGATCCAGGCTCTGCCATTGCTAAAGGAAGTCCCATGACCATCTGGTGTCAGGGGACCATGGAGGCCCAAATATGTGTTCTATGAAAAGAAGGAAGCCTAGTACCCTGGGACACACAGACCCCACAGGAGCCCAGGAACAAGGCCAAGTTCTCCATCCCATCTATGACACAGACCATGCAGGGCGGTATCACTGCTACTTTCACAGCCCTGCTGGCTGGTCAGCAAACAGTGACACCCTGGAGCTGGTGGTGACATGTGAGGGGACACTCTGGGGTCTTGGTCACAGTTTCTCTCTCAAGAAAAATGATCCATTACTAGTGATGTCTCCCTCTTACAGAGCAGTTCTGGGGAATAACAAAGGCTTTGTAAGTCCGTTTGACTTCTTCTCCCCTAGGGGCCTATAGAAAACCTAGTCTGTCAGCCCTGCCCATCCCTACTGTGACATCAAGAGGAAATGTCACTCTTCACTGTGCCTCAAAGGAATATAACAATTTCATTCTGATCAAAGGGGATCGTATGTTCTCCAGTCCCCAAGATTCACCGCATATAAAATCTACTGGGCAGAACAAGGCCCTGTTCTCTGTGGGCCCTGTGACCCTCAGACATAGGTGGACATTCAAATGCTTTGCCTATGACCTGAGAAAACCCTGGCTGTGCTCATAACCCAGTTACCCCCTGGAGTTACTGGTTTTGGGTGAGGAAGTCCTGATCTTTCCCTTGAATGATAACAGACCTGACACAGGTTCCTTGGTGAGGCCCTGGTATATGGTGGGTGAGGGGAGGTAGAGTTTCTTAGCACTCTGACACAGAAAATGGAGGACACTGGGACCAGAGACTAAGGTACCAAGTCCAGACAGTGAAAGTTAAGCCCAAGAGTTCTAGGCCAGAGGTGGATTTTCAAGTGGCTGCACATGTCCCTATGCAACAGAGGATTAGCTTAAGTGTCATCATTAAGAGTGACCTCGGTGCCTCTGTTCAATCAGACCCACCTCCTTGTTACCTCCATCCTCTCCAGGGACTCTCCACAAGCCCACCATCTAGGCTGAGCCAGGATCTATCCCCACATTAGGAAATCCTGTGACCGTCTGGTGTCAAGGGACCCTTGTGACTACAATGTATATTCTACATAAAAATGGAAGCCGCCCACCCTGGGATAGACAGACGTCACAGGAGGCCAATAAGAAGGCCAGGTTCTATATTCCATCAACGACACGGCAATATCACTGTTACTGCTACACCTCTGCTGGATGGACAGAGCGCAGTGACATCCTGGAGCTGGTGGTGACAGGTGAGGACACTCTAGGGTACTAGTCCTTGTCTCTGTAATCATGAAAACAGATCTATAAAATGTTTCTTCCTAACATTATGGAAGAGGGAAAAAATATTGTAAGAGCCAGAGGTCTGGGAGGACCAGAGGGAAATAGTGTCTCCTGGACAGGACAGGATCCTGACACTCTGAACACAGCAGCTTTGGTTACATGTGCACAAGATCATGCCAATCAACATTCCAGGACTGAGCAGGGAGGAGCTCATTAACCTCCAACCGTAGCTGAGGAGCTGTTGAGAGTTGATGGCTTTTTAGAGAAGACAGTCAGTTTAAGTGTCTGGCCCCTGGTACATCTACATGCTCCAGGGCACTGGACATACCCATGAGTACCTGGGCAGCACACATCAGGCTCAGTGAGTTATAAAACAAACAAAAAGAGTACATTCGGTTGAGAGAGAGACAATGGGGTTGGTGGTAGACCAGGAATTACCTGGAGGAGAATGTATGAATTTCATAAAAATACATTGTATGCATGTATGAAATTCTCAAAAAATATTTTCAATGTATACATTATATTTCTTAAAAAGGTGCCCACTTCTCACTGCACATCTCAGAGGACAAGTGGGCTGTGTGAGTCCACTTAAATTGCTGCCTCCTTTTCTCCTAGGAGTCCACAGCAAACCCAGCCCGTCAGTCCTGCCCAGCCCTGTGGTGACCTCAGGAGGGAACCTGACCCTCCAGTGCATCTCTTCATGGACATATGACAGGCGCATTCTGACCAAGGAAGATCAGATTTTTTCTAGCCCTGTGGACTCACAGTACACTCACACTGAAATGCCCCAGGGACTCTTCCCTGTGGGCCTAGTGACCTCCAACCAGACATGGAGGTTCAGATGTTACGGTTATGACATTAGGAATCCCCGGGTGTGGTGAGTACCCAGTGACCCTCTGGAGCTCCTGGTGTCTGGTGAGGAAGCCTCAATCTTTTATTTTAATGATAGTGGGCCTGACACAGTTTTCCATGGGAGGCCCTGGTATGTTGGGGGTAGTCAGGTCTCTTGAACCTAAGACACTGAGATCTGACATATACAGACCAAGGACAGAGTGAGGTGGGAACCCAGGAGGGCCATGAGAATGAAGAGTCATCATGGGGCTCTATGTGCCCTCAGAGTCCTCTCGCATTGTGGCCTTCTCTGTGCCATTCTTCAAACAGAGCCCCCTCCTCCTCACCTACTTCCTTGCAGGAACCCTCCACAAACCCACCATCTGGGCTGAGCCAGGCTCTGTGATCATCTCAGAAAGTTTTATGATCATCTGGTGTCAGGGGACTCTGGATGCCAAAATATATATTCTACATAAAGAAGGAAGCCCAGCACCCTTGGGCAGTCAGACCCCACTGGAGACTGGGGACAAAGCCAAGTTCTCCTACCCATCGACAGCACAGGAAAACGCAGGGCGATACTGTTGTTACTTTGAGAGCCCTGCTGGCTGGTCTGTGTGTAGTGATCCCCTGGAGCTGGTGGTGACAGGTGAGTGGAGGCTCTTCTGCTCTAGTCCCAGGCTCTGTTCTCACACAAAAAAAGAAGCACATAAAAGATATCCCCCTCTCAGAGCCCAGAAACGGGAGAATATATGGACAGTGTGAGCCCATTTAACATGCTGCCTCACTTTTTTTAGGAGTCTTCAGCAAACCCAGCCTGTCAGCCCTGCCCAGCCCTGTGGTGTCTGCAGGAGGAAACCTGACTCTCCAGTGCATCTCTTCATTGAGTTCTGACAAGTTCATTCTAACCAAGGAAGATCAGAAGTTCTCCAGCCCACAGGACTCACAGTATATATTTTCCACTAGGGAGTACCAGGCCCTGTTTCCTGTGGATCCTGTTACACCCAGGCACAGAAGGACTTTCAGATGTTATGGCTACTACAACAGATACCCAGAGGTGTGGTCAGAATCCAATGAACCCCTGAAAATACACATCTCAGGTGAGGAAATCCCATCACTGACAGAACACTTTTTTCAGACTCAAAGCCTTGGGGATGAGCTCTGGAGTCCGTTCTGGGGGAGGCTGACAGGAACATTGGGTTCCTGAGTCAGAGCCTTAGGGAAGGAGAGACAGTGACACTTGATTGTCAGTATGGGAGAGGGAAGGTTCAGGGCCCCATTCAGTTCCTCCACCTCCAGTCCATCTTCCCTCCAGGTCTGCCCAGGAAGCCTTCCGTGTTCTCCCATCGCGGTCCTATCCTGACCCTTGGTGAGAACCTGACCCTCCAGTGTTTCTCTGATGTTGACTCCAGCAGATTTGCTCTGTCGGAGGGAGGAACTGACTTCACCACACACTCTGGTCAGCGGACTGAGGGTGGACTCTCTCAGGCTGACTTCCCCATGGGTCCTGTGAGTGGTTCTCATGGAGGCCAGTACAGATGCTATGGTGCACACAAGCTCTCCACTGAGTAGTCAGATCCCAGTGATCCTCTGGACATCCTGATCACAGGTGAGGAGCCCAGATGATCCAGTGAGGGTCCCAGACTGAACCAACCCTGCTTGAACAAGCCCAGGAGATGATGACCATGGTAAGATTGGAAGGAACAGTCACAGAGACAAGGCAAATGGAGTGGGTTAAATGACAGAGATAACAAAGACAATCAGGTCTTCAGAGATAGGTCCTGGAGAGGTCCCATCTCAGAACAAGATGGCAACCCCCAACCTACCCTTCTCTCTAGGACAGCTCCCTGTCACACCCTCCCTGTCAGTGCAACCAGGCCCCAACGTGTCCTCAGGAGAAAACGTGACCCTGCTGTGTCAGTCAAGCAGCCGGATGAACACTTTCTTGTTGACCAAGGAAGGGGCAGCCAGTCCCCGACTGCATCTCAATTCAAGGTTTCAAGATGGGAAGTACTGGGCAGAATTCTCTGAGTGCTGTGACCTCAGCCCTTGGGGACACCTACAGGTGCTATGGTTCTTGAAGCTCATCCCCCTACCTGTTGTCACACCCCAGTGACCCTGTAGAGCTTGTGGTGTCAGGTAAGGTGACCCTGAGCTCTCTAAACCCAAAGGGTGACTCAGGGTCCTGTTCCCAGGAGCGTTCTTAGCTAGTATCAGAATTAGGGGACCAGAGTAAGTGTCAATCAGGCGGAGATTCACCACTCAGAGATGCAGAGGCCAACAGTGATCCCTCAATTTGAGCTCAACCACCTCTTTCATTGGAATCCACAGGCTCCAGGTGGGCAGCAGTGGGCTGTGTGAAGGCCAAGGGCAGATGTAGAGCAGTGAGAAGCCTAGGGTTCTCTGGGAGTGACTTCCATCTCCACACTCCTAATGTGTTCTTTCCCACAACCCTCTGGGGTCTCCCCACACTCAGGCCCCAGCCCAGGAGCTGGGTAAGCTAGAGTCCTCTGTCCAGGGAGTTTGCTCTGCCCCAGGACATCTCTCTCTCCATCTGAGTCTTGGATCTTGTATCAGCTCAGCTTGTGTCTAGCAGCCTGGGACTCAAGCTGAGGTTAGAGTCCCCAGAAGTGCAGAGGCTTGGAGACCAGGCTGAAAATGGAGGATCTAAGCAAACAATGATGTTGAGTCCTAGTCTGAGAGGGACGGATGGAGAGGTGCAGAGAGACGAGACTGTCCCCTCACCTCCCAGTCCCACCCCAAGTAGGCCCCAAGAACCTGTCCCACATCCCAAGGAGTCAGGCACCAGTAGCTCTAAGTGAAGACTGTAGGGAAGTCAGTTCAGGGGCTCAGAAATAGTAGTGGGGTTGGTGAACCTCTTCTGGAGATGCTGAATTGGACAAGCCTCTCCCATGTTGGGCCTCAGTTTCTCTAAGTGTAAAGAACTGAGACCTGCCCCAGACCTTTAAGTTCCTTTTGGTCTGACTGTGTGTGAATTCTCCAGGCAGAGGAGGCCACCAGATCTTGGATCTGCAGTCAGTCTGTCCTTCCTGCCACAGTGATGGTGGCATAGTGCAGGGGTGTGGCACGGGGGCATGGCAGGGCTTCCAGGCACCTTACCTTCACCTCATGGGGCTCAGTTCTGGTGGAGGGAATAAGGTTGGAATTCAAATGACCTGGGTTCAACCCCAGCTCTGCAATTTCCTCTAGGGTGACCTGGGGGAGGTAAAGTTGTGGAATTTGAGGGGAAATATCATATTGCATTATTGTGAGAATGGGGGGTGGTGACTGCAAAGACCCAGCATGGGCCTGGCACACAGTAGGTGCTCAGGTAAACAGCATCATTTCTCATTCATGATGTCACTTGTGCCCCAGGACTGGAAACATACCAGAAGTTTCTGATCGGGGTCTCAGTGGCCTTCCTCCTGCTGCTTTTCATCCTCCTCATCCTCTTCCTCCTCCGACACAGGCGTCAAGGCCAACACGGGCAGGAGGGTGTGTAGGATGTGGGTGTCCGAGGCGTAGTGGGCTCCCCTTTGGGTCACCGAAGCAGCAGCTCAGGGCTCCAGTCACAGGGAAAGCAGGAAGGCTAGGTGGGGGGTTGAGCTGATAAATGCTTCTGCAGATTCTCAGATAATAAGACAGGCATTCTGTGAACTGTTACATTTGCACACGTCTCCCATGTGTTGTAAAGTTCCCTTCCTTCCCTGCAGGTTCCTGGGGCAGGGGCCTCCCACCTCCTGGCTGAGACTCTTCTCTCTTCTGTAGCCCAGAGAGAACCAATGGACTCACAACTTTCTGCAGAAGCTGAGGAGCCAGTGCCGAGGGACAGAGATCCTCACAAGAGGTAACTCAAGCCCAGTGACCAGACTCCCACCTGCCTGCCTCCCCTCACTGCCAAACCACACCCTTTGTCTCTCCAGATTTCACCTGGCTGCTGCCGTCAAGAAAGAAATCCTGTTTAAGAGAAAAGGGCTCTGGGAAGGGGGATGTCTGAGGTCTTGGCATTGCAGGCGTGGTGGGGAGGGGATGTGGTCAGTGCTCTGTGGGGCTAGACCTTCACTATAGACCTGAGGGCATCACTAAGATTCCTTGCTCTGTCCCCATCTGAGAACTAAGAAACTGAGATCCCAGGATTCTGGCCAGGAGATGACTTTCTTGTTCTTTCACATCAGATGCTTCTGTGAAGGTCCCGCAGTCTGAGGACAGCATGAAGATGGACAGTCTGGTGAGACCCTCCTCCAGTTGATAGTGCTGAGAAGCCTAGGGTCAAACTCTGTGTCCTCCCTCAGCCATCAGTGACCTCTATAGCTGATCTCATCCTTCCGTTAGCATCGGCTACTCCCTGATACAGCCTCACTGTTTCTGGGTTTTCCTGGGAACATGTGCCCCTCCCTCTGTCTCCTCTGTGGCTCTTCAGTCTGGTTGTTACCATGCCCAAGTGTCTCAGAAGACCATCTGAGGGGTGAGATCTGTACTTGTTCTAGAGGGATTTCCTAGCCATGTACAAGGCGCTGAGTTTGATCCCCAGCACCGAAAAACAAACCAGTAAAACACGTGGCTAAATGAGATCCCCATATACCTGAGCCCACTCCACTCAATCCCAAGCCACCCACAGGGAGCTCCAATTTTTTCTTTCCTTGTGTGTGTATCTGTATATGCATGCACGTGTGTGTCCATTCATGTGGAAGACGAGGATCAGCTGAGTATCTTCCTCAGTTGCCCCCCCCCGCCATTCTTTCTGGGACAAATTTCTCACTAAACCTGCAGCTCAGTGATGTGGGTAGTCTGTCTGGCCAGTAAGTCCCAGGGATCCTGCTTTCTCTACCTCCCCAGGGCTGGGATCACAGGTCTGTGTGGCCTTGCCTGGATTTTACATGGCAGGGTGCTGGAGATCAAACTTCAGTCCTTGGTTCTTAAATAGCATGCATTTTACTGAGCCATCTCCCAGACCCTTGACCAGGCTCCCTATAGGGGCTGTAGACGCTGCAGGGAACAGAGCTCCTTACCCACTGGGACAACAACAGGGATGAGAGAGGACTTGCTAAGAAGCACAGTGTGAGTGATGCAGGAAAATAAAGGGAGAATGGTGTGGGGTAGACAGGATCAGTGTGAATTGCAAGGGGGGTTGGGAGACTTTGACAGGATCATTCTGAGGAGAAGCCATCATTGAGGAGCCCACACAGACGTCTAGTGGGCCAGCACCTGCAGGTAGGGGACACTGCGGCACAAAGGTCCTGGGACAGTTGGACTGTGTCACTGAAGTTGGTGGAGTGAGAGAGTACCAGACTTGGAGGAAAGAAGCTGTCTCATACCCCAAGTCACTGAACGTTCATTAGGCATGCCATAGTCTGATTTAAATGTCTGAGGATCACTCTGGTCACCCTGTGGAAATCTGAATGGATGAGGTGCCCAGGGGAACCAGGGCACAGTGTCTCTGACTCACTGTCTCTCTGTTGCAGAGCCCATCTGAGGAAGATCCCCTGAAAGAATTGAATGCCCAGGTGAATCCATCCAAGTTCAGGAAATCAGGGGATACCTCTACTTCCACCATGTCAAGGAAATTACTAGATTCAAAGGATATACAGGCAGAGGAAGACAGAGAGATGGGCAGACAGGCGGAAGAAGGCAGAGAGATGGACAGACAGGTGGAGGAAGACAGAGAGATGGACAGACAGGCGGAGGAAGACAGAGAGATGGACAGACACACAGAAGAAGACAGAAATATGGACAGACAGGTGGGTACTGTTTCCCCCATGCCACACACTCCAAACACCAGGCATGGAGCTTCTCCTCACTCTTTCCAACTCCAGGCTCTTGCATCTGAGGATCCCCAAAATGTGACCTACACCCAGCTGTGGTTTATGAAACCAACACAGGCACAAATGAGCCTCACAACTCCCATCCAGGGAGGCCCAAGCTGAGACCAGTGAACACCCTGGTCTGGTGTCTAGCAGCCCAGGAAGACCCTGACCCCATACCCTATAGAGGGAGACTCAGGGATGGCTGAGGAACAGGACATGCCCGGAATGCACAGCCGTCTTGTAGACTGCACCTGCCTGCAGGAGATTCTGGGAATATTGTGGACTCAGTTGATGCTGCAGTCAGAGAGAGCTAAATATTTCTACATTTTGTAAATAAAGCAAAAGCCTTATCAATAATCAATGAAAGAAATGGGAAAAGAAAGATGAGATAAGAGAATGCTTTTAATTTTTTAGCATTAATATATACTTTTCTCAATTATGTTTCAATAAAGTTTAAAATTGAAACAATACAATGAGCACATCTAACATGAAATGAAATTTCAGAGTCACAAAGAAATTTATAAGAAAAGAAATCATGGCCTTCTCATCATACTGAAAATATAGAAAAAGAATAGCCACCTGTTCCAAATGAAGGACTGGAAAAGGAAACTATGTAGAAAGAGATGCCCTGAGCTACGAAGATGGTGTTGTGAGCCAGTAATCACAACTAATCATGAGGCTGAGGCAGCGGGGTTCACAAGTTCTAACCTACCTAGGATACACAGAGAGATCAAGAGTGGCCTCTGGAACGTTGGAAGACCATCTCAAAATAAAAATCAAAAGTGATGTGCAGCTTTAGTTCAGTGTTTGAGCATTTGCCTGACACCCTGGGTCATTCCTAGTACTGGAGAGAGAAATAAAAGAGAGAAACAGACAGGAGTGTGGGGGGGCAGACTGTATTTATGCTAACACTTGTGATCTGTGTGCCCATACCCGGAGATAGTATCACCTGGTCATACAGCACTTCTGATCTGTAATATTTGGAGAACCGCCATGCTCATTTCTATAGTGCCTAGAAATATTTAGATTCGTTACACAAAAATAGCATACAAGTGTGCTTTCTTCCACATTCTTATCATTTTTCTTTATTGAGTGTGTTTTTTACTTAATGTACAAAATAAAGGGATTCATTATGATGTTGACATACACGATAGTATTGAACTTGGTTCATATTCGGTCCCATCACATCACCGTCCCTTATCTCCATTTGTACCTCCTGCTGGTCCCCTTCCCCCACACTAATGATCCCCCTTTCCTTTAATTTTCACAAACATACGCACTTCTTTTTTGTAGCTCTCACAAGAGAGAAACATGGAACAGTTGTCTTTTTGTATCGTCTGTTGCTCTCTCCAATTTCGCCTCCTGTCAGTATGCTTCCTCATACCAAATACTTGGACTTCTGTATCATACACGTGTATTTTTAACCTTGTTTATTTATATTATAAAATACACGGCTGTCAACATTTTCACAATGCATTCAAGCACTTCAATCATAGTCCTTCATCCTCGCCTGCCCCTTCCCGTCTGTCTGCTACCCCTAAAAATATCCCCCCTTCGACTCCCATGTGTTATTTTATTCGGATCCCACATGTGCAAAAATAGTATTTGTCATGCCAAGTTTAGTTTGTTTTGTTTGACATGAGGATTTCTATTTTCATCTGTGGTTTCACTTGGTGTAATTTCATTCCTTTTATAGCTGGATAAAACCCTGTATGACAAATTTTCTTCATCCGTTTATCTGTTGATTGACACCTAGGCTGTCTATATATTCACTACTGTGAATAGTAAAGTACTAACATGAATCTGCACACATCTATATAGTCTGACAACTTAGAATGGTATAGCCACATCACAGGTTAGTTCTGTGTTTAGATTTCTGATGAATCTCCACACTGATTTCCATAGTGACTGCAGCAGTTTACATTCCAATTAGCAAGACATACAGAGCCTTCCTCCCCAAATCCTGACCAGCATTTACTACTGTTTATTGTCTTGATGCTACCCATCTTAATGGGAACAAGATGGGTCTATGAATGTGATCTTCTCCATGTGTTCCCTACCTAGTGCTGATTGTCTTCTCACAAAAGCAACAGGCTCTTATGCTGCTTCTCTTAGAGATTTCCCATTCATAGTAAGAAGAAATCTCAGAACACATTCATAACGCAAAAGACCCTGGGAAATGGCGCCCCAGTGTCCTGGTTGTTTCATTTCTCAGAGCAGCTGATGTGTTGCCCTGCTGAGTAAACACCTCCAAGGCTTCAGTCCTTCACTTCTTCAACGTGGCCTTGCATCATGCACCCAGTGCATTCGCATTGCTTTTGAGTCCTTTCATGTTGGCACACAAAGCAATGGTTTTATTGTGGCATCTTCATACATGCGTGTGAGGGCTTAACTCACTGGTTCTCACCACACACCCTTTCCCTCCCCCTTTCTCCCTTCCCCTCCACGAGTTTTCTCATTGTGTGTATCCTCTCACCTCTGTTTCCCACCTCCATTTCTACTTCATGACATACAAACCAACACAGATAAATATAGACAGATATTTGCACACATATGGAATTTTAAATTTAGGCTCTGCATAGGAGTGAACACATACAGTATTTGCTTTCTGAGTCTGGATTATTTCACTTCACATAATGATTTCCAGTTGTGTTCATATTCCTCAAAATATAAATTTCATTATTCTTACAGCTGCATAAAATTCCCTTGGGCATACACATTGAATTTTTTTAACCATTCAGTGGCTGATGGGAATCAAAGCTGGTTACATTTTCTGGGTATTGTCAGTAGTGTAGTGATAAACGTATGAGCAGCTTCTCTGTGACATGTTGACTTTGAGACTTTCAGGTTCAAATGCTGTAGCTGGGTCTAATGTTAGTCCTATTTTCAGATTTGAGGAACCTCCCCATCATTTCTAAGGGAGCTGCACCATTTCACATTCCCACCAGCATCATCTGAGAGTTCCTCTTTTCCTACTTCCTCATCATAATTTTGTATCATTTTGCTTATTCTGATAGCCATTCTTTTTTGTATTTACTTTTGATGAGTTCTTACACACACACACACACACACACACACACACATCACACACACATGCACACACACACACAGCATTAGATGATAGAATACACACACACACACACACACACACACACACACACACACACACACACACACACACACACACACACACACACACACACACACACACACACACACACACACACACACACACACACACACACACACACACACACACACACACACACACACACACACACACACACACACACACACACACACACACACACACATACACACACACCATAATGTATTGCTTTTATAACCACCCCCTCAGCCCACTCCCACATCCTCCTTCCCTTTCTCCCAACCCCTTCTTCTGCCCACCTCCTCCCCAGTGGAC